AATTTCCTATGACGAGTTCTGTCAGATAAGAGTCGAGTTTTCACCAGATGCACTCTAGTCATTGTCCAACCCACTTCATCTTCCTGAGTTCTTCCATATACCATTGTTGATGATTAGAAGTGGGTTGGAAAGGATGCTTGGGATCAATCGTGTCAATAGCCTTGGCAAGATCAGTGTTCCAGGTATTAACCAAAGCTTCAACAGAATTGCTGGTGTTACCAACCATTAAACCCAATAAGGCTTTCTGGATTCCAATTGGTTTCATTAGCCTTTGAGAGCGGACTATTCTAATGGGTCCTCCACCCCTGACAGGACAGGTAGTGACTCTAAGTTCAGCCTTGATCAGGAAATGATCCATCCATGACAATGTGGATGTTTTTATTACTTCCACCCATGGATATTCCTGTTTCCATACACAATGAGTGGGCCTGATGACCAATTGGGATAGGCCCATGTTTGTCATGGACTCCATGAACTCCCGGGCTGCACCTGTTAGATTTGACAAACTGGTCTCAAGTGGGATGTTGAAGTCACCCAAGACTAAAAGTCTAGGTGACTCCAACAACAACTCTGAGACTAGTTGTGTCAGCTCAGTTAAGGAGGCTGTTAGACAACAAGGTGAGTGGTATACTAGTAGAATCCCCAAACTATCCCTGGTTCTCAGGCTCAGGTACATACACTCGAAGTGGACTGTTTTCTGGACAGATATCCTGGTCAAGGTAAGGTTATTCTTATGAACCAGACCACTCCACCCCCTTGCCCACTTCCACTTAAAGAGGGAATCCTATTTTTCCCCCAGCCCACCCCTTTAGCAGCAAGGAGGAGAAATGGCCAGGGAACTCAGTACAAATCAGAAGTACAGAACCATACAGTCCCTTAGCAAATGCTGTTGAATCTTCCATGATAATACAAATGTTACCAGTTGGTTTATTTTTTTAAAAGCAAAAAATTGCAGGAACAATACATCGGCCAACAGCAACATTTATTCTACATGTTTACCCCCAATGTGTCTGAAACATAGCAGGTATAATATAAATGCATGAAAAGGGGCTTTTAAAATGTTATCTTATTTTGACAAAATCCTAGGATTTTGTAGGACGGAACCACGGCAGTTAAAGTGGTGTCAAACTGCATTATTTCCACAGTGTAGATGCATCCTGAATTAAACTGGTCTCTGAATTAGCTGACCTTGTTTCCAAAGTAGATTGGTATTTCCTTTTTATGTATAGTTTTAAGTTCCTTCAGCTCAGAGACAGAGCTCTGCAAATGAAATGTGGAATTCAACATTTCAGTAAGGAATTCATAAGATAAGGATTTGAGAAGGAACCTCTAAACTACATCAATTTAATGAGAAGAAAATAAATAGTCATCAATTTATGGACACATTTCTGTCTTCTATTCCATTTCAGAAGTAGTGATTTCTGTCATTCTTATCATCCTTTGAAACAGATAGATGACTAACTCTTCTCTTCACAGTGGGCATCAGGATTCAACTTTGATGGTCTTGCTTCAACTTCTATTTTCAAAATCTCTGCACAGTTTGCAAATACAGTGGATCCCCATCAATCAAACCTTAAATTACTCCCATAAGGACTACAACTACCCAACAATTATATATGTCTTTGGAAGAGAGATAGCATCATGAGATGGAGTTACAAAGCCAGGACTATTATTGCTATATATAAAAAATGGGAAATTCTGATTCAACAAGAAAGAGGTCTATGTTAGTGCTACTGTTTCTTCAACACTGTAGATACAGTGTAACACCAGGCCAGCATTCTACCACCCCATGCTGGTGTGGCACTGTGAAGTATGTCTAAAGGGCTATGCAGACCGGTGGCTTTGGGCTGCCACTGCTAGCCACAGATTGGGGCTGTGGCCCTGATCTTCCCTTTTACCACCCCTGAAAGAGTGGAATAATGCTGCTCCTTTCAGGTGTGGCAAAAGGCCGAGCTAACGCCAGCATGGGGCTCTTTAGCACCCTTTCTGGTGCGAGGCATCAGGAAGGCATCAGTGTGGGGTTGGGGAAGCTGCTGTGCGGCTGTCCTAGCCCCTCTCTGCCTCCAGGCTGGCCCTTTGGGTCGGTCTGCAGAGGCCCTAAAACTGCCTCCAACTATGACAGGACCAGGAGAAAGCTGTCATCCTTCTGGCTTCTCTCCATAGTTGTCCTCATCTGTCCCGTACCCTTTTTGTCAGGGGAGACAGTTCAACATATCTGTAGTAACCAATATATACTGAAGATCTGCTAATTCCATTTACCTTCAGAAACACAATCCAAAAATTGCCAATAATCTCATACTACATTTACAACTGCCAAAATAAGGACAAAGCAAGAGTCTGAACATGAACTCTGAAATTATGAACAATAAAATCTTAATATACCTCTTTGTTGGGTCTCTCCCCATCAATGCGCATAAAAGGAGTGCACTTAGGGCAAGTGAAGATTTGTTACCACAAATTTTCATATTTACTTCATCTACTATCAGGAATTGAGTCCCTCAGAGACTGAATCTACATTGCAGAATTTAATGCAGTTTGACTCAGCTTTAACTGCTGTGGCTCAATACTATGAAGTCTAGAATTTGTAGTTTTGCTAGATGCCTAGCTTTATCTGTCAGAGAGGTTTAGTGCCATAACATGCTACAAATCACACTATTTCATAGCACTGAGCAATGACAGTTAAATTGGTTCAAACTACATTAATTCTGTAGTGTGGCAGCAGCCTGAGTTCCTGTCATGCTTGTTTCTCATTTATGCAGTATTTACTTTGCTTTGTATTACTGTATGATGGGTTATGTCAAGGCTTTGGTACTGCTGGGAGGAAAGGTTAGAATCATAGAATCACAGAGTTACAAGAGAGCTCAAGGGCCATCCAGTCCAACCTCCTGCCATGCAGGAAGACACAATCAAAGTACCACTGACAGATGGCCTACAGCCTCTGTTTAAAAACCTCCAAAGCAGCTCTTAGGGCCTCGGCAGTTGGCTTAAAAAGCCGTCCCGGAGGCAGGGAAGAGGAGGGGCAGCCACATGCTCGGCGCCCCTTCCTCCTCCCGAGGTTGCCCTCGGAGCCGCTGGCCCTCTGCACGGCTGGCGCTCCGGGGGCAACCTCCTGCCACAGCGTCCAGACACGCTGCAGCGAAAAAGTCAGTGAAAAAGTCAGCCAGGGCACACCTTCCTAGGGCACACCTTCCCAGGGCAGCCCCGTGCTGCCAGTCTGCTTCCCCCCTCACTGTCCGGAAGTACCTCCCAATGTTAAGGTGCAATCTCTAGTCCTGTACTCTGAATCTGTTGTGTGAGGTCCTATTCTCTGGAGCTACATAAAATGAACTTGCTCCATCTTCAATATGGCATTCCTTCAAATATTTAAACAGGGCTATCATATCATCTCTTAGCCTTCTTTTCTCCAGGCTAAACATACAGTTCCCTAAACCTCTTTCATAGGGCTTTGGTGGTAGTATCCTAGGTTTGCCTTCAAGTAAATGGCTGACTAGGAAGCAACTACATTGTTTGATTGCTCTTGAGGCTTAAGTGTTTTGCCCAAAGAAAAGGTGAGGGGGTGGTCAAGGGTTGATACCTGGCTTCAGCTGGACCTGCATCAGGTTCCTCCCCTTTCAAGGGTCAATGTAAATTAAACAGGTTATAGGTGAAAGAAAGTGCACCTTATTTAACTAACATTCTGTGTCTGGTCTCATTATTCCATGGTTGGTTATCAAACACACAAATCAACAAATTGCTAAATCATTTGGGGGGGGGGGAGTAAATCATCCAAAAAGAACACCAAGAAAAGCCACTGCTAATGACACACTGAAAATTGCTACAAGACCATAAGGACATATTACGTTTTGCATAGAAAATATAGCCATGAGCTATTTAACTTCCAGATGCCCCTTTATTGATTGTAATTTATGTCAGCTGCTTATTTAAACAGATGAGACAAGTCCCTCCAAAGATTTTCAGCAATGAACAGCTAGCTATGTATGACTGAGATAAAGTTTACCTTCAGGGGTGCCCTGAGAGTTTTACATTTGCTGAAGGCTTCTTTTAAAAAAGTTAAAAAATAAAAGAATGGTGGAACAGACTGGGTTTGACAATAATTGCACTCCAAGCCAAATTTTGAGCAAAGAAAAAGGAAGACAGACACAGTCTGAAGACTGAGAGAAGATGCTTGGGGATAAATATTTTTTTTACAAATAATACCCTCATGAGGAAGAAATAAGAAACAAACAGCTGGACAAAATCAAGGAAAAAATGTTCCTGGAGTTGCAAAATTCCTTCCTCATTTTTAAGCTGTGGATGACAAATAGAATGAACAGAAAAAAACCACACAGACTAGGATGGTGTTGGAGGGAGGTTTGTTCTTCTCTAGTTTGCAAAGGAGAATGGTTTAGCTTGCAAAGCTGAGAGAAAAAAACTAATCTGAAAGGAACAGAGGTTGTTGTGACAGTGATTCACACTGCAAAATGAATATCCACACCCTGAGAGCATTAATGTTTGGTGTCCATGTTGACTGGAATCCTGGGGCTACAGAGTTCCATTTTGCAGAAAACTATAGTTTGATGTATAAATACCCTCTCTGTTCCAGTGTTCAAAATATAAGTGTGGATGCTGCATGGAGAAAAGCTATTCCATCCAGTGCTACTGAATACAAAATGGAAATAGGGCTAATACATGCAACCTCATGAAATCATGAGCATGCATTTAATTCAATTTTAATATTAAAAATCTGTATTTTTAACAGTTTTAATGTTTATGCTTTAATTTGTAATTCATCTTGAACCACAATTTTGCAATACATAGGAGTCGGTGTAGTGTAATGGTAAGTGTTGGATTAAGACTCTGGAGTATCAGAATTTGAAAGCCCTGCTCTGTCATGCAAACCCACTGGGTAACATTGGGCAAGTCACATGCTCTCAGCCTCAGGGGAAGGTAATTTCAACCCTCCTCTGATCAAATCTTGATAAGAAAACCTGTGATAGGTTTACCTTGTAGTGCCTTGTAGTGCCAATGTGGCATAATGGTTTGAGCATTGGACTATGACTCTGGAGACCAGGGTTCAATTCCCACGTTGGCCATGAAACCCACTGGGTGACTTCAGGTAAGTCAAATGCTCTCAGTGTCAGGTGAAGGTAATGATAAACCTCCACAGAACAAACCTTGCCAACAAAACCCAATGATAGGTTAGATATAGGGTTGCCATAAATTGGAAACAACTTGAAGGCACGAAAGAACAAATACATGATATTAATAATACTTTAAAATTTCATATAAATAGCAAAAATAAAAATAAATAGAAACATCCCTTTTAGTGATTAACTTTTTGATTATCATGTAATATTTTGCACAGATTTGGAGTTATGTCAGCAGCTGAGAGTTTTGCCTGTATCAATTTTCTATTACCACAATCGATTCATGCTCCCTAACAGAAACAGAGGTGCCATAAGCATGTTGTCACTGATGACTCCAGAATAAATTATTTCTTACCAAAATGTTTATGTCAATGCTAAAATTAGCAGAGGTGACTCTGTTGTAGCTGGTAGGCTGAATCCTGTGTAATGGGAAAGAATAGCAAAGTAGACCTCTAATCCTATCATCTGCCAGGTAAGAAGAAAGCAACAGGAAAACAATTTTACCATTCCTCAAATCCCTCCAGCAGAACAGAAGGATTTGATGAAGACTGCAAAAAATTAATATTGTCAAGTGCTCCCAAAGAGGTTGAGAAGAATGACAACCACATACAAAGATCACTAATCAGAAAAATATTTTTTTAAAAAAAAATCAGCCCAGGTGATACAAGCCACCATAACAAAAACTGAACAAACATGTATTGGTTTCTCAAGTCTCCAAAAATCAGGCTCACATCCTTGGACAATCTCAATAGAGGAAAGATTGTCATCAATACTAGACAAGTAAACACTTAAGACAGCCCCTTGTGTCTTGCACAATCTGACCTGGAGTGAATGTGAGTGATTCTAGCTGCAAATTGTCCAGCAAATTGGCTGCAGCAGGCCCCATAGGATCCCTTACCCTCTGTGGTACTCAGATCTAAAAGTCATTTTACTATTAGATACAGCTCCTGCTACCTGATGAAAAAAAAAATCTTTCCCACTATCCTCATGACCGAAGGAGAGGTTACAAAAATGATCTAGTGGTTCAGATTTTTTTCCCTTCAATTGCCCTCAAATGTTGTCACAAGTAGTTCTGGATCATGGTAGCTCTAGTCTAGGTAAACTACAGCTTTACAAGGATCATTTACAAGCAATTCTAATTACAGTCTGGGAAGTCAGTTTGTCATTATATTTATCCAGTCAGGCTGTAATGAATAGATGCATCCTTCAGAATATTCTGGAAAAGAAATTTACATTGAGTTATGATTTGAGAGAGAATTTTTATGAAATGATGCATAATTGGTATTTATTGTCTAACAGATTATTGAAAATGTTAAAAATAGTTCAAATGCCTGTTTGCTTATATCATACATGCCTTGTGTATTATTAACTAAAGGAAGTCCACTGATAGGAGCATACAACCAACTATAGGTTGGGAGGCAGGGAGGAAGCCAGCATGTGTGTTAGTTTTTGTTAGTTTTTCTTAGTTTTTTTTGTGTTATGCTAAGATTGTTGTTTCTTTTTGTTTGCTTGTAGTTTTTATATGGCTGTTTTTAGTCATACACACACATACACAGTAATTGTGCTTGTGATTTTTATGTTTAATAAATATAAATTATATATAAAAAAGATTATTCTTAAAAATAATTTAAGCCATTTTTTTTTTCTGGAAGAAGGTTGTCTCACTTAATCCTGGAAGACTACAAAGATCAGACAATCCCAATATCTGTGATCAAGCCAAAACTGAAAATTTGATCAGTGGCTACCATTGATTTCTATTTCACCCAGCGTTTCAAACTAAAATAGATTCAGCACTGTGGACAGTTCTTTTAAAAATCTAGAATAAATGCCAGGGTGGATTCCCTGCATTGTTGGTGTGGAATTGACCATCTACCACTGCATTTGATAATTAATATGATGTCTGAAATAAAATATTGGGTTCAGATTATTACCTATGTAATAGGAAGACTTATTCAAAGATGGGGGCGGGGGGGGGGGGAAATGCGGTTATCATCACAGCTATGAAACAGTAGGTTGGACTTGATGGCCCTTGTGGTCTTTTCCACCTCTATGATTCTATGAAAGACATATGAACTGTTCAGACATGACACACCCTTCATCCAAATAGAAATGAGAAGGACCCACCCCCCGACGGGTCAGGAGAGGCCTTCTGTTGCGCCAGCCATTTTAAGAAGGCCAACGCCATGATTGGCTGAGAGGGCAGGAAGTCCCACAATTCCTGCGGTTCCCAGCCAATCAGGGGGGATCTCACGAGATCCCCCAGCAGCTCATGTAATCTCATGAGACTTCATAGCCTTGTGAGATTTCAGGCAAGATTTGGGGCCTATTTAATGTCCTCAGCCACGTGGCGGCAGCCATTACAGAATCGGCAGCTGAGATAATTTTTGACAGGTCACAGAGCAAGTCTCAATCCAAGCGACATGTGTCGCCTATTGGATTGGTCATTGGTCAGTCGGCTCCTAAGAGTTCGGCCAAAGACCAGGGACACAACGATGAGATTGTGGCCGACCTGGCCCAGTTGGGCTGCACAATGGCAGCATGTGTTGCTATATGCGAGCAACTCACTCAGAGGGGGGTGTAGGGTGGTAACCCGGGAATCCCGGCCCCTCCAGCCACAGGCTCCAAGACCACGAGCAAGGTACAGGTGTTGTGGCTGCAAGCAATACAGGTGCAGGAGGTACTCTAATCTGGGCTGTCAGCAGGTGTCATATCACACATTGCTTAAACAATAGAGCAGTGGAGGGTGGGCAGCCAACTATAGCTGAGGTCATGGAGCTCATGAGAAAGGTTCCTGGTTTGGTGCAGCAGGGTGCAGCAGCCTCTGTGTCTGCACATCCTACATTGACTGAATTGTACAAGGTGGTACAGCAGGTGGTGGCTTCAGGCCAGGCTTGCAGGCTGGCTGCAGAAGCCCTGGAAATAGCAACCAATGTGGTGGGAGGTGCTTCCTCCACTTTGCAGCAGAACAACTGAGCCACAGTTGGGTCTCATCCAGTTGGGGATGTTGAAGTGTCAACAGAAACCCCACAGCAGCCGGTGGGCTCAGGTACGTCTAACTCACCTACTTCCTTGGGGTCTTGGCCAGCAGCAGTATGGGCGCCTGGTGCTCAAGCTGGTCAGGACAGTGGAGCTGAGAGTTCACTCTCAGTTTCACTGGGCACATCCTCAGTGGCAGCTGGGGAAATTCAGACTGAGGTAGCAAGGCTCTAGGTGGAGCAGTTCCTGGTTGGCAAGGTAGGTGAGCTCAAAGGAGCTGCTTCAGTGGGGGCCTTAGATCAGATGATTGTAACCCTTACGCAGTCATGTCCACTCCGCTAGGCTCCCATCTCCCACTCGCAATGAAGGAGCAGATTTGACTTTCCAGGACACAGACGCAAGACTTATGGTAAAAGATGGAGTAGTATTTAGTTACCCTAAAGAGTTTGAGGCCCACAAGGACCCAAAGTTGGAGAGGAATTTTGTTAAATGGGTAATGGGGGTTACGATTTACAGGGAACTGATTGAAGAGAAGGAGCCTTTAAGGTCTCTGGAATTGTCCAAGTATCAGGAGATAATGGTAAAGGCCTACACTAATTGTCACTTTAACTCAAGAGGGTCTGCTTGGCTTCAATATGACGTACAGTTTCAGATGTGTGCTGCCCTGGATCATTCCTTTCATGGCGGCACATACAGGTGGAGCTGTGGGCGGACGTGATGGTTGGTGCTTCCCCTTCGAGCAGATATGACAACGGCTTTATGCCTATGGACACTCAGCTGAGAGGGCAGTATGCGAGACATGGCACAGTGGAAAGGAGATTACCACAAGTCTGCTGGGAGTTTAATGCAGGTAAGTGCAGGTGGAAGACTTGTAAGTTCAACCACCGCTGTGGCATCTGTGCCGGGAATCACCCCAGCACTTCCTGCTTCAAAGGTAAGTGGATCAGGGCTGGAGCTGCTCCTCAGGCTACCACAGCTGGAGGAAAAAGTACCAACACCCATTAAGTTGGACATTTTGGCCATCTGGTTGAGGGTTTTTCCCAAGCGGGATTCTGCCCAATACTTACTTTATTGGTTTACACATGGTATTCACATTCCATATTCTGGTTTAAGAGTTTATCAGTTTTTACCTCATGCACATTCGGTGAGGGAGTTACTGAGGGTGGTAAGGGACAAGCTAGTGAAGGAGCTGGCAGTAGGGAAGATATCTGGGCCCCATAGAGAATTGCCAATGCTAACATGTGTTGAACATGACCAAGTTAGGGTTGAATTGCCACATCTGTACAGGAGTGATCGAGTTCATCTCACCCCCGTGGGCTGTGATCTGTACTTGGACTCCATAATTTCTCACATCAAATGAGTCCTATGTGGGAGGGATGGGATGCCAAGCTAGGCTGGCCCCCACCCGTGGTGGGGCAGGGACCCCTCCCCCAGAATAATTGGATAACTGATTTGTCAATATTTGGTCCTTTACTATGCATGATTGGTTTACATCGACAGCTTAAAATCTCTGACCTCATGAATCATAAGGATGATGTCAGGATTAGACAGGGGAAAATTTGATTACATGTTTGACAACTTATGTATGACCCTTGTTGACATATGTTTGGTTTAGGGCATGACTTATCCCTGATGGCTTGACATGATTTATGGTGAGGATTACATCAGGAATTATGGCATGAGCACATACACAAGTGTCAAGAAAGAAGTTATAATAAAGTAAAGATTTTTAGCTGTCAAATTGTTGTATAAGACCATGTACAGATGTACAAAGTTGTGGCCATTTGTTACCTACAAATGGCATTCGGACGTCTTTGTGCCAGTGCGACTGTATAATCAAGTTGTTTACAGGAAATTTTACTATGAAGATCCCTTTCCAGCTAGCTTGATATTGTTGGGTTGCCAGCCTAAACTATGTAGCAGGGCCTAATTAATACAAAACAGCTCTTCTTATGTCACTCTACCAATG